GCTGGTGGATCCTGCCCCTGATTCAGCAGAAGCCGGTCGAGGCAGGCCTGATTCAGCACTGCTTAATGACGCTGTTATCTGGGAGCGAGCGCTGCAGTCAGCGGGACGGAGGGTGCAGCAGCCCGCGGGCACGGCACCGCCGCTGGCGGGGCTGGGCAGAGCTGCCCTCGCCTTTATCGGCAGCAGCGAGTTTTATTGCTGCAATTATGAAGCCGCCAATTGCACCAAGGCCGGTTCTGGTGGCGGCGAGCAGCCCCAGGAGCAGGAGGACACCTTCACCCCCTTGTTTGCAGGGAGCTTCCCCCTTCTTCCCAACCTCGGCTGGCTCAGACCCCACCCCAGCAGCTCCCTTAACAAGGACACATCTCAGACACCCCCGAGGCCTCAGAGGTGACCCCGGGTGGGTTTGTGTTGCCCGTCCCGCTGTGGGTGGGACCTGAGCCCCTCTGCAAGGGACATCCCGAGCTGCCCCCCTCCCTAAGCACCCACAGGCTCTTCCCCCACAGAGATCGGGTTTCCCGGTGAGCCGGCTGAGATGGAAACAGATCCTTGTCCCAGGGTCATTGCGAGTGAAAGGAAAACTCCACTGACTGCTCCTCGTGTCGGTGAGAGAGAAATAAACATTTACCGGGCTGGAAGCTTTAACCTGCAATGCGCTCCCGTGTTCAAGGGTTGCAGGAATTCAGCAGGTCGTGGAGGTGGTGAGGGATTGGGAACAGCCTGTTCTGAGCGCTCTGCAGGTGCAGCAACCACCTTTGCTGCTGAGAGGTCAGATTTTACACTGTAGCAATGACTTCATGGAAAATCCAAGGGGATCCTCCCCACAGGCGCCAAATCCAGGGGGATCAGTTGAGGGGGCAGGAGGGCAGGGAGCTGAGCACGCAGCCTGTCAGGCTTGGTTTGACTGCAGTGAGCATAAAAAATATCCCAAATAATCAACTTTTTTAAGATTACTGTTTTTTTTTTTTTTAAGAATACTTCCTCATGGCCATGGATTGGGTCATCAGGAGAGGTTCTTGGTGGCTGGGAGGGTGAAAGACAGATGTGGAGCACTTTGCTCATCATGATGGACTAATGTACCATCCCCAGGCATTGAGGGCTTTCCCAATTCGGGGACTTGTCTCAGCTCACTGCTGCCATCACCACCGTCCCAGGAGCAGCCTGAAACCACGAGAGTCTTTATTCTCCTCGGCTCTATTCAGAGGGAAATCCTGCATTTGGAAGCTGGGATAATTCGGGCAGCTCCAGGCAGATAAGCATGATTTCCATATGTTCAGGGAGATGTAATGAGATGGGATGATTAGACTTTATCACGCTGCAGTTCTGTACCACTCTGATGCTGCTCAGCCTCTCACAGGAGGGATGTCTGTGCTGGTCCCTCACAGCCCTGGCACGTGGGGCAGAGGGTGATAAACCCATCTGAGCACTGCTTGTGGTGCAGGAGCTGCTCAAGGCTCCTGAACCTGGTGGCATTGCCTGGAACCTCTGCAGAGGGATGCAGGGAAGGGGAGCAGGGATCTGCAAGTGCTGCTGCCTGTCCCTGAGCCCAAAGATTGAGCCTGCAAAGGGGGATGGATTTAAAAACAGCCTCAGGGAGGATGGAGGCAGGAGAGCAGCAGGGGGATGTGTCTGCATGCCTTGTCCTGCCACAGCGGGATGGGCTCAGTGCTTGAGCAGGGCCGGGCTGGGCTTTGATCCCAAAAACTGGCAGCAGGAGAGGAAGGACAAACCATTCCCATCCACATCACCTCCACTAGGACAGCAGGGATGAGGGAGACACACACCAGGACCGTGTCAGGGACAATCCCCTCTGCACGTGGCCACATGGGAATAAACCAAAATGTGCTCAAGTGGTGAGCTTTGAGCTTCCAAATCATGACAAAACCCTTCAGACAACTCCTTTATTCCTCTCCCAAGCTTTATGACACCAAGCTGGTGGGGAGTGTGTTGATCTGCTGAAAGGCAGGAGGGCTCTGCAGAGGGACCTGGGCAGGCTGGATCCATGGGCTGATTCCAACGGGATGAGGTTCAACCAGGCCAAGTGCTGGGTCCTGCCCTTTGGCCACAACAACCCCCTGCAGCCCCACGGGCTGGGGACAGAGTGGGGGGACAGGTAGAGGCAGGAAGGGACCTGGGAGTCTGGATTGACAGGAAGCTGAACATGAGCCAGGGGTGCCCAGGTGGCCAAGAGGGCCAATGGATCCTGGCCTGGCTCAGGAACAGAGTGGCAGCAGCAGCAGGGAGGTGATTCTGCCCCTGTGCTGGGCACTGGGGAGGCCACACCTCGAGTGCTGTGCCCAGTTCTGGCCCCTCAGCTCAGGAAGGACATGGAGGGGCTGGAGCAGGTCCAGAGAAGGGCAAGGAGAGTGCTCAGCCCTTGGAATGGGCTGCCCAGGGAGGGGGTGGAGTCCCCGTGCCTGGAGGGGTTTGAGCAGAGCCTGGATGTGGCATCAGTGCCATGGGCTGGGTGACAGGGGGGTTGGGTCACAGGTTGGACTTGATGGTCTCAGAGGGCTTTTCCAACCCTGTTGATTCTGTGATTCTATGATTTAGCAGCTGAGCCTGTCTCTGCCACCAGCCAGTGTGTGCCAAAAATTCAGCTCTGTGTCACCACTTGGCACTGACTGACAGTGCCAGGACATCGTGCTCATCTTCAGGTGGTTTTGGGAGCCCCAAAAACAGCCTCTGTGTCTGTGGTACAGCCTGCAGTCTCTGTTGACATGCTATTTCTGCATGCCACAAACAAACCCCTCCTGTTTGCAAATCAACAATATCAATGCTGGCTATTTTTTACCTTTTAATTAAGGTTTTATTTTGTTATTTGTTTAACAAACACATCAGTGGGTAAAGGAGGCAGGTAATGACTCAGTGTGTAGTGCTCCAGTGCTTAGGTGGATTGATTTTTCAAAAATAAGGCTTTTATACCACTGACTTTGTCTATTTAGCAGGACTGTGTGTGCAGTGCCTAAATTATATTCCACACACTGCTTTTTTTAAAGGGATGGAACTTGCTTTCTAATAATGAAGGTATTTCCATGGGTAGATATTCACATTTATTTTCAATTTGAAGGGGGTGGATGCATTTTCACCACCTTTCAAATACCATCATCCTACTAAGGCAGACTTTCAAATGAATTCAGAGCCAGAGTCCTCGGGGATCAGCACAGGGGAAAGTGTTTAAAAGCCTCCAGTGGAAAAATTTTCTATTGGAAATGAGATTTCGCTGTAGACAGATTTCCCACGAGAATCCCTTGATTTCAACACCGTTTGGGCCAGTGAAACAGACTGCAAACCAGTCCTCTGCCAAGGGGAAAACCTCCTTACAGGGCATCACAGAGAGGAAAAGGGAAATATTGGAGTTATTTTCCCTTTGAAATGACTTGCAGAGGTGTTAAGATGGAAAAGGCTGATGCGCTGAGGGCATTCCCGGGGGGAGAGCCCAGCCCAGGGGGCATCCCAGCCCCATCCACTCTGGCTCCTGTGGGTGCTGGGACAGATGCAGGATGTTCTTTGGCCTCGTGTGGAGTGTTTGTCCTCAGCAGAGCTTGGTTTGCCATGGCAGCACCCACATCCCTGCCCCAACAGGAGGGTGCTGGGTCCCTCAGCGAGGGGGCAGGACCCCTGGTGTCCACCCCGGGTGTGCCAGGCAGGGGGTGGCTCTGTTTCAGGGTGGCAGCAGGCAGGGAGAGGCGTTTACAGCCTCCTGCCCCCTCCCCATCCCCAGCCGGCCAAGGAGAGCTATTTCAGGAGGATAAACAGGATGCCTCGCTCCCGGGCTGGCCACCTCCATTCCTCCCTCCCACCGCCCTCCAGTAAACAGGCCAGCCCAGGAAAAGCCTCCCGGCACAACCCCAGGAGCCCAGACCAAGCCAAGCGACCTGGCCGCGGCCAAGCCGAGCTTTGCCCAGCCCAGCCCGAGCTTCCAGTGGTCTGGAAGCATCCAGGGAAACCAGAGCGATCCCAAAGCATGGGATCCACCTCGGCAGCGACTCCCTGGAGCCGCCCCGCAGCTGGGAACGGCTTGAACTCTCTGGTCACACCACCACGTCCTCCTCCTTCCTCCTCCTCCTCCTCCTCCTCCTCCTCTTCCTCCCTCGGTCACACCCCGGCTGCTCGCTGTGCCCGGGGTCTGGGAATGACACCGGCCAGGCCTTTCCTTCAGCGGGATCGTGCCCGGGCAGCGCCGGACGATCCTGCGAGGGCTGTTTCCGCCTGTTGCTCTTGGGAAAGGAGCTGCAGCAACAGCAGGAGGAAGGTGGAGCTTTTCCACCGCTTCCTTCAGCTCCGCAGCCCCGGCTGCTTCCTGCCTTGGTTCGGTTGTGTCCAAAGGAGACTTTGCTGGATCGGTGGAACGCTCCTGGTTCTCGTATCCCACTCTGTGCCCTCCAGCACCCCGGTGATCCTGCGGAGATGCCAGCCCCCATCCCGGCACAGCGGAGCCAAACAGCCCTTGGTCCCAAATCTGTGGCTGGGGAGGGTTTTAAGTCAACTTGAGTTCTTCCATCCCATTTTCCCACAGGCTGGGGAGGGAGAGGGGCCCCACGCCGGCTCCCACGGCCGCTCTCCAGCTTGGCACTGCAGGAGCAAGGTCAGGGCGGGAGGCCCGGGGTGTGGGCACAGGTAGCACAGAGCCCTGGTGTTGCAATGCCGGGAGTGGAGGATCCCGGTGCCAACACGGAGCCGGTTTTCCCGGCGGCAGCGCCCGCCGTGGGACCCGCGGGTGTGCGGGGGGGGACACACGGGGGTGGACGTATCCCTCTCCTCCAACCTCCCCATCCCCCAGCGAGCAATTAGAGCGGCTAATTACCCGGCGGGGGGCCCCGCGCCCCCCCCAGCGCCGGTGCCGAGGGACGGCGGGCGGGACGCGGGGCGGTGCGGGAGGAGTGGCCGGGGGGGGCCCGTGGGGCGCCGCGCTGCCGGGCCGCCCTGGGCGCTGCCTTCCTCCTCCTCCTCCTCCTCCTCCCTCTTCCCTCTTCCCTCCTCCTCCTGCCGCTCCTCCCGCCGCCCGGCCCGGCCCGGCTCCGCTCGCCATGGGAGATGTGGTCTCCACGCACCTGGACGAGGGTCGCCGCCAGCACATCGCGGGTGAGCCCCCGCCGCGCCCCCCGCTCCCCTTTTCTCCCAGACGCACTCTCCCCATCCTTCCTTCAATCCCTCTGGGACCCCCCCCTCCCAATATTCTCGGGACCCTCCTGCTCTTCTCCTCTCTCGGTCTTAGAACTTCTTTATTTTTGCAGTTTCCGCGCGGTTTTGCCTGGACTCAGCCCGCGGGGTTCAGGGGGGTACCCGAGGTGCCCGCCTGGCTCCCGAATGAAAGGCTGGGTTGTGCCGGGGGTGTTTGTGTTCGCTCCGGGGTCCGTGTCTGTGCGCGAAGCCCCCCCGGGCTGCGGGGAGGGAAGAGGGGAACTCTTCGGGGGATGCTGGAAGCCGAGTCCAGTCAGGAACATTGCTGTCAGCACGGCGGCTGCTGGGGCTGGCGGGCAACTGAGTCTTATCCGCCTTTACAGTGCTGGGGGATCTTTAGGGAAGCCCCCCCCGTCAAAGGTTCTGGGGTGGAAAGCAGGACTGGTTGCCCCCAGCCTTCCCGGCACAGGCAGGACACAACAGTGCCCCCGCCACGGCCGTGGGACGGGGCAGGGTGACAATGTGGTTATTGAGAGCCCGTCTGTCCCGGGGCGTCAGCGCCTCGCCCCTGGCACGGGATGTCTGGCCAGAGCCGCCTGGGAACCGCGGGACGTGGGATTATGGCTCTGCACAGGCAGGGGTTGTTCGAAGCAACGGCTTGGGGGGAGTGGGGGGGAGTCAGAGCTGCTAATTGAGACCCGCGGGGACTTGCTTGACCTCTGTAAGTGGGGTCGCCCCTCTGTCGCGGTGCTGGGCTCCCCCGAGCCACCTCGCGTCACTGGCGGTGCGGGCGCTTGGCTGCCCCGGGGCTCCCGAGCGGGCAGGACGCGATCTCCGAGCCCTTTCACGCTCCGGCTTTGCTTTCAGCTCCCCGGGCTGGGAAACCCCCTCATCTGCGGTGGGTCTGAAGCCACCCGCCCACCCCGCGGAGCCACACCTGGGGCGGGTGCCACCAGCGAGTGTGGCTCCGTGCTGGACCTTGTGCGTCTCGCCGGGAGCTCAAAGCCTCGGGAGCGCCGGTGTTTTGGAGGTGGCTCCACCGTATCATTGCTCTGTCTCGGCCATAAAGCCACGGGAGTGGCTCCGGAGTCCTTTTGTCCCCGAGGGCTGCGGGGGAAAAGCTGCTGCTGCTGCTGGAGCAGAGTGGCAGAGCTGCCGTGGGACCCGGTGTCTCTCGGTGGAGCTCATCGGCCCTGCCAGCCCCCGCCGCCGTTCCTGGCAGGAATGCTTACGTGGTATGCGGCTCAGCAGGACGCCAGCAGGTTTCTGAGCTTTGAAGGAGAGCTTGGAACTCGCTCTGGGGTTTTCTCCTTGCATTAGTTAGAGCTCAAAACACGGCTTGTCCGTGAGGCTGTGCCGGGCCGGGGCTGCCCGTGGCTGCAGTGTGTTTGGATCCAAAGCACATCCCGAATTTCCCTTTAACTTGCCTGTTCTCTGTGCAGAGATAACTCCCTGTGCGAGCCCTGGGATCCTAATCCTGAAGAATAACAAGGAAAAGCCCCGTCTGGGTTTTCTATGCAGGAATCTGACTCTGCTGGGTCAGGAGTTGGGTGTTTGCAAGGCCAGGCTGGATGGTTGAACCCTGGCGGGGACTGAGCTGTTACCTCAGGGTGGGTTTCAGCCCGTGGGCAGGGGGGCTGAAAACTGGAAAAAAGTGGGAAAAAGATTTAAGGGGAAAAAGATTTAATGGGAAAAAGATTGCTGTGGAATAGGATGATGGAGACTGAACTGGGACATATCCTGTGCCTCACCACAGCCCTGAAGGTTTGGAGTGAGCAAGGGGGACATGCACCTGTACTGGGACACCTCCCTGGGAGAGACTGGAGCAAACTGGGCTCCTGGAGCACCTCTCAGCTCCCTGGGTGAGGAGCCCCTGGAGCTGGGAGGGGCCGTAACCCAACAGGCAAGGCACGACTTGCTGTCAGGCATGCAAAGCAACGTGGCGGGGAAAACTCCGGGTTTTCCTGCCTAGATCAGCCTGTTCTCCACTGCTGCAGCTCCAGCTGGCGCCCAGGGAGCGATCCAACCCCTCTCCAAGCAGCTTTTCCCGGTTGTCCTCCCAACTTTGGGGAGTTTGGGTGGGCTACCCAGGCTGCCGTGGCCCCTGATTGCTGGAGGGAGCTCTCTGGGGTTGCTGGTGCTTCCCGAGGTTGGAGTCCCCAGAATTTCTGGGGAGAACCTGGGCCAGACTTTTCTCCCTCCTGGGGATGGAGCTCTCAGCACCGCAGCTGGATTAAAGGCAGGAGGGAGGTGGGAAAAGCCCTGCCATCAAATCCAAGCTGGGAAGGTCCCATGCCCCGTCCCAGCCCACGTGGTGGTGGCTGGTGCCAATGTCTCCCAGAAGTCACGAGCCACACGCATGTCACTGGTGTGTTGGTGGCTCAGGACCAGGGTCTTTCCTCCCCACTGGTGGGACTGGATCCCTCCAAGCAGGCATGGAGGCAGCAGGGATGCTGCAGTGTGCTGGGGCTGTCGGGGCAGCTGGGTGTGATCTCCCCCTGGATGGTTCTGGCAGAGCTGCCTGCAGCTCCTGCATCCCATTCTCCTGTTCTATGACCAGTGTTTTCTTCTGCCTTCCTGCTTTGGACACCTTCCCAGCCTGAGTAATCCAGTTTGTTTGTCAACACTCTTCAGCTGCCCTCCTTGTCCTCCTCTTTCTCCCCAAATGTGGGTTGGGAGTCTCTTCCAACCTGCTCTGTGGGCTGGAGCAGGGAATGGCTCTGCATGGGCACCATCACCTGGGGACATCACCTGCCATGCACAGGGTGCCCTGCCAGGGCTCCTGGCAAAGCTGAGATGTCACCTGGATTTTTGCACAGTGTCCCCTCCTGCCCAGGGAAGAGACAGTGCTCCCTCCTCCCAGTGCTCTCAATCGTGGAACTGGATGAAGCTGGAACAATTCCATCCCTAGGGCATCCCGGTCCCATGGCCCCCTTCTCCAGGGGGATGAGGTGAAGCAGGACTGGCAGGAGCTGGCTGGCTCTGTCCTGGGCACCTGGTGGGTGTGAGAGCCCAGGGACACAGCGGGAGCTGCCGGATGTCTCCGTGGCCAGAGGGATGTGGAGGTGGGTGGCAGCACAGGGAGGGTCCTTGGGAGCTCACACCTTGTTCTGGCATCTCCGGGGAGTCGCCAGCCCGTTAATTACAGAGTAAGCCAGCTGTTAATTTTGGGGTGGGACTTCCACGGGCACCAGCCCACGCAGTGGTGGCAGAGGTGACACTGAGCCTCATCCCTGGGGCTGGACCTGTGGCATTTCCGCTCCAACGAGCCTTGTCGTGGCTGCACATCCCTGATCCCACCCAGGAGCATCCTCCTCCTCCTGCCTGGGTGCTGCTGGGATGGGCTGTGGGATCAGATCCAGAGGTGCCAGGCAAATGCCAAGGGCTGTGGTGTGCCACAGGGATGGAGGCTGCTGGCAGCGGGGAGAGGTTTGCTGTGGCTTCCCTGAGCGTGCCACTCATTTCCCAGCCTCGGCCGCAGCTCCAGCCGGCGTGGGAGGCGGAGGCTGCCGGCGCTGGGCTCTGGGGTGGGTCTGGAGGCTGAAACCCTCGCCCTGCCCCCGGGGGAGGCGGTGCAGGGAGGCTCCGAGGGATCGCGCTGGAGACCTGGAGTGGTTTCTCGTAACGAAATGTGTGTCTCCTTTCATCGTGAAATAAATAACTCCCCTGGCATGTCAGGGCTCCCTGCCAGCGGGAGGGGCTGGTTCTGGCAAGCCGGGGCTTTACCTGCAGCCGTCGTGTCGGGGCACGGGGCTCTCTCAGAGCCAGCGTGTCGGGGCAAGGGGACATTGTTCTGGTGGCCTCCCCACGTGTGCAGGCAATAGGAGCCCTCCCTGCCCTGCCCGTGCTCAGCCCCGGGGGCAGAGCCTGCCTTCCCTCTGGGAGGGCTTTCCCTGCCTCCCCCAGCGAGGGTTTATCCGGAGGCCTCGCCCTGGGCAAGCTGGGGCAGGCACTGAGGGTATCCCTGCTCTGCCTGGGGCAGGAGGAGCAGAGCTGACACTGCAGCTGAGAGCTCTTTTTGGGCCCCCGGGTGAGCCCAGGGAGAGAGAAACGCCCACAGAGCAGGACTCCCCCACCGGCAGTATCAGACACCCCTAACCCCCTGCAGGGACCCAGCGAGGGCAGCACAGCCAGGAGCTGGGATTTCCCAAGCCTTTGCCTCCCTGCTTCCCTCAGATCGCTGCAGAGGCTGGCTCAGCTCAGGGGGGCTCGGTGCCTCTTGGCACAGCCCTTGCCAGCTCTGTCCCACCCTCCTGGGACCGACAGGCCCCCGTGTCTCCAAGCTTGCCAGCAGGAAGAGCATCTAGAGGGATGCTGATCCACGGGCAGTTGCTGAGATGTGAAGAGAGGTGAGGACCAGCTCTCCAGGACAAGGCTGAGCACCCTCTCTGCCCCTGCAGCACCCAGGTCTGATCCCACCACTCAGTTTGTAGGAGGGGGCTGCACCCTGGGGCTGCAGCTCCTGGAACCTGGCTGGTGCCTGGCACTGAGGTCCCCAAACAGGAGCTGTGCCCCTTCCCAGCACCTGGCTGGCCCTGGAGCCTTGTCCAGTGCCTGGATGTGCTGCACTGGCTCCATGGAGAGCCCAGTGCCTGGGGCCAGGAGGGGAGGAAGGGGCAGAGCAGAACTTCCTCCTGGTCTCTTGGACTGGAGAGGGAGGAAGGAGTAAAACTCCACCTTTTCCCCTTTTTCAAAGGGAAAGGGCAGTAACATTTGACACAGGTCCCAGCTCTGGCTGGTAGAGCACAGTGCCTTTCCCTGTGCCCTCCTGCCCTTCTTCCTGTGCCCTCCTGCCCTTCCCTGGCAGGGATCTGTCCCTGCCTGCAGCCAGGCTCCCAGCTCTGCTCTGGGGAACTCAAACCCTTCACTACAGGAGTCCTGGGATGGGACATTCCCACACAGCAGGATGGATGGGATGCTCTGCCCTGGAGCTGGCAGGGGACCTGGGGCAGGATTTCCAC